AATACCGTATACCGTGATAAAAGCATTAGCAATTAATCGCAACATGAAAATTTGATACCGGCATATCCCTACTCTATTCTCGTTTTGACTCGGAATCAAATCTTTGCTCCAATTTTGACGACTCCATTCTTCAGTCTTGGCAACGGACAGCTGACAGTCTCTGGTTTGAAGGAGGGCAGAGAGTGTGGGAGATTATGCTGTGTTACTCAGGGCAGGAAACACTACGTTATTTCTAAGAGCCGGCAGTACCTACACAGTGAGAAGCAAGGGTTTTGCGAAACAGCAGTGAAAGAGTGAGTGAACGCCTCCATCTCATCCACACACTCTGGCCTTGGAGAACGAGAAAGTGAATTATTTTTCCAACACAAATTCAAGAGCATATTTCAAAGGATGTACTGTATAGAAGTTGTGCATTTCGTTTGTTTACAGTGTTGGGGAACGTTACTTGAAAAAGTGCTAGTGCATTACTTCTTTAAAAAAAGTGCAACGAGCGTTACATTGCCATTTTTAAAAAAATTGTCCGATCACTCATTTGCAGCAAAGACATGCAAATGCAAAGTGTCTTGCAATGTCCCTGCATTACAGTAGTTGTTACACTACTCCTACAAAAGCATTACTTTATTTAAAAAAAAAAAATCATTAAACCACAGTCTTAATTTTCACCTACTTTTGTTCTTATATGTTATTTATTTGTGTATAAGTGCAAAAAAAGTACGTTATTAAGTAACTTTATTATAGCACTATAGAGTGTGTTAAAAAAAGTAACGCAGTACTTTACGTGACTAGCAGCACGTTACTTCTAAAACAATGTGATTATGTAACGCTTTACCCCAAACACTTTTTTCTAGATACAGTATCTCTACCCAAACACTAATTTCTCTTGATCAAATTTTGAATTAAAGTGCAAGTTAACTTTAAAGATGCTCTTGATTTTGATTTTGATTTAAAGCTTGATGACAGTTTGTATCACAGAAAAAAAAGGTGTGACAATTTTGACGAGAGCTGGGATTGCGAGAGTCCATCCAAATCAGAGGCATGAAACGCTCGTGAAATGATTGTCAAACCTTTGCGAAATGTTCGTGAAATGCCTGCAAGATGTTTGCGACAGGAAGAAAGTGAACAGGTTGAACGTCAGACAACTGAAAGAGGACAAGGTGTGGAACTTAAGGAACTGCTGACTACATACTACAAGTGTTAGGATTCTAGAGTCACACCAAATCGTCATGGTAACAGCACAGCATCCTAGTAACAGCTACTATGACTAGAGATGAATAGATATGTTGGTGAATGAGAAAACAGTCCGCTACACATGACAGTTACTCGCCAATCGTTTAAGGGCGGAGCTGCGCGAGGGGTCAGATGTCATCGATCTGTAGCCCAGCGGACGCAGACCAGGCGCCCCCGAGAGGAATTTAGCAATACACAAAAGGAAAACAAACAAAGAAATCAAATTCAGATGAAGGACATCACGGCATGTGTATTAGATGTGCTTTGTGAGTACACGTGCACAATGCAGAACTGAAAGGGAGGGGCTACATAAAGGTGCATTTCAAAGACACCGCGGCTAATGTGAGACTAGACTACCCTGCAGGGATGGCCGAGGACAGGAGCAACAATCTGAGTGAAAGCAAATCGTACAAGAAACATGATGTCTGCAGAGGAATAAAGTCCGGGAAGCAGGGTCCAAAATGCTTTTAACTTCATATACTATATAGTGTCATGCTGGCTTCGCTAATGTCAGTGTTGTTTATAAACGATGACATCAAAATTAACTTTCTTAAAGGAACAGTTCACCCAAAACTGAAAATTTGCTGTAGATGAGTTTGTTTCTTCATCAAAACGGATATGGGGAAATGTAGCATTACGTCACTTGCTCAGCAATGGATGCTCTGCAGTGAATGGGTGCCATCAGAATGAGAGTCCAAACTGCTGATAAAAACAATACAATGATCCACAAGTAATCCACACCACTCCAGTTCAACAATTAACATCTTGCGAAGTGAAAAACTGTGTTTGTAAGAAACAAATCCAACATTTTGAATTTTAATTAAACCATTGCTTCCAGCTAAAATACGCAAGTCCATAATCCATAGTAACACTTTCTCCAGTAAAAAAAAAAAAAAAAAAAAAGTTGTCTCGTCTGATTCAGGAGAGAAATATGCACAGATCAAGCATCATTTACAAACAAACACAGTCCAAAACTGTTCTAAACAAATGTGTGACCCTGGAGCACAAAACCAGTCATAAGGGTCAATTTTGTGAAATTGAGATTTATACATCATCTGAAATCTGAATAAATAAGCTTTCCATTGATGCATGGTTTGTTAGGATAGTACAATATTTGGCTGAGATACAACTATCTGAAAATCTGGAATCTGAGGGTGCAAAAAAATCTAAATATTGAGAAAATAGTCTTTAAATTTGTTCAAATGAAGTTATTAGCAATGCATATTACTAATCAAAAGTTAGTAATGTATCAAGTTTTGATATATTTACGGTAGGAAACTTACAAAATATCTTCATGAAACATGGTCTTTACTTAATATCCTAATGATTTTTGGCATAAAAGAAAAATGGATAATTTTGACCCATACAATGTATTTTTGGCTATTGCTACAAATATACCCCAGCGACTTAAGACTGCTTTTGTGCTCCAGGGTCACAAATGTTGGTGGATTTTGATGTGAGAGGACAACAGGGATGGACTTTTTCACTGGAGAAACAATATTATGGATTACGGACACGTATTTTGGCCAGAAGCAAGGGTTTGAAGCTAAAACACCTTAATAATGGATTTGTTTTCTACAAACATGTATCTTTTTGCTTCATAAGGCATTAACTGATGGACTGGAGTGGTGTGGATTATTGTGATGTTTTTATCAGCTGTTTGGACTCTCATTCTGACGGCACCCATTCACTGCAGAGCATCCATTGGTGAACAAGTGATGCAATGCTACATTTCTCCAAATCTGTTCTGATGAAACAAACATCTTGGATGGCCTGAGGGTGAATACATTTTCATCAAATTTTCATTCTTGGGTGAAATACTCCTTTAATACGCGTTACTGGCCACAAATTGGTGCACGTTATTTAGTGTTTGAACCCCACATACAGGACAGTGCCACCACCTTTAATTTCAAAAGATCAATTTCAGAGTTAGATGGTATTAAAACTCTTGCAGACATCAGTGAATAGAAATGAGAATAAATGTATCCAATTCACTTAAACGCTACAACATGTATATTTTATTCATCTCTAACTAGCTGAAATTGCGACTTTGGTATTTTAGGGCAACCATCATCCAGAACTCTTTTTTTTTTTTTCTCACTCAAGTTTCATGCGTCCCTCCTAAGAGGCGGAGTCTAACAGGCAGAGTGGGAGGGGCTAATCACCAAGGGCTCCACGTGCTGCTTGAGCTCTTCCAGATGTTCTAAAATATTCTTCTTTGTGATGATGCCCAATAAAATCCTGCAACACACACCGTGACGACCATCACTTAGCAACAAAAATTACACCGACAACTCAAGTACAAACAAATAGAAATCAAAACAACATAAAAGTAACAAGACAACAGAAGCAAGATGAACAGAAGTTTACTGAGATCAACAAAATAATCAGGTGTTGAGTTGCAATTAAACAAATGAACTGAACAGAATCAAATTGTAAATATCAGCCACCACCGTGTGTGTGTGTGTGTGTGAAACAAAAATGATTCTATGATTAGATCAGGAGTCTGGAGAGCGACTTTAACATACAGGAATAAAAACTACTCAATCGCTTCTGCGGTCACATTATTAGTTTTTCTCTGGAGAAGATACTGTTATCTGTAACTCAGAATAAGGTCTAGGCTCAGTCAGTGTCTCTTTTTGCAATCCAAAGTCCAAAGTTTAATTAAATTAAAATGTATGTTTGAATAAATATGTCAAGTTTTTATTACAGCCTCCATTTAAATTTTCATATTTTTAGAAAAATAATTATATCATTAAAAAGTTTATTTGAATTTAAATGCTTATATGCAACTTTGTTTTTATTAAAGTGTTGATTATTAAATAAATTCGATCAAATAATTAATTGCATGTTAAATAAATTTTAATTTCATTTTCTAAGAACTGGAGTTATTAATGGCTGTTGAAAATTCAGCTTTTAATCACAGGAATAAATTACATTTTAAAGTATATATTTAAATAGAAAACGGTTATCTTAAATTGTAATAATATTTCAAATTTGATGTTTTTTTTCATGTATTTTTGATCAAATAAATGCAGCCTTGGTGAGCACAAGAGAGTTTCAAAAAGAAAACACAAACAAACCACAGACTTTTGAATGGTAGTGTTTGCACGGATGAATTGTTCACGATTAGTACAACATGCATTTATAAAATCAATGTTACTTTTTAAATTGCAGTAATGACCGCAAGACATCTATATGTTGCACTAATCAGAATTGTAGCTAGAAAATGGGCTTAATTGTAATAAAAAATAATGTTGAAATGCAAAAAATGTTCCTAAAACAGGCTTCATTTTCTTTAATGATAAAACGTATAATAATTGTCAATAATATAATAATAAAAGAAATGTGAGACAAAATGCAATTAAGCAGACTGACATTTGGGACCTGAAAGTGTTTATATATTGTGCATTTTTGAAATTTACGTGTTTATAAACATCTTAAATTTGATTAATATTAAGTATTAATTAAATTTCCCACTCTCTGTTTCGGTAAAAAAGTACGTTATTGGCCGGATTGTATTTTGTATGAAATCAAGTAAAATGATTATTTTTATGTGTTCTTTTGAATGATCCGGTTTTATATCTTGCTAGAAGACATTTTCCCTGCTATTTGTTGGTTTTTGGTTGTCGTTGGTGTGAACAGTAACTGCTTTATTTGTCTCCTTTAAAACTCCCTCTAGCTGCAGCCACGGTGTATATAAACACATCATGCAAGTTTGATCAGGCTTATACCTCATTTGTTTGCTCTTTCTTACTGTAAGGATTGCAAATAACTTGTCTGAAGAATTTTTTAGTATGCATTAAAGCCAAGACTGTCGGTTTTTATTCACGTTTTTGAATGTGCTACACAAGGCAGCTTTAACATTTCCTGTTTAAAGCAAAAGGACAAAACTACAACATTAAATTGTAATAAAGAAGATGAAATACTCCAAGGCACTCGTGTAGTAAAAATAAAAAGCTTTTAATTAGCTGGGCTAAAGCATTAAAACAGTAATAAACAAAATGTATCTACATTAAACTAAACTACATTTAACTAAAATGTAACTTCTGATTAAATAAGTTGCTTTGGATAAAAAAAAAGAATCTAGTAAATTCTTAAATATAAACTATATTTAGCTTTTTGTAAAAAAATAAAAAATAAAAATAATAATAATAATTAAAAAAATTCAAACTTTAGCCATTTTTGAATGATGGCAAAAATTGCGTAATCATAGATTTGATGCTTCACGTAAAATACAATACGGTCCAAAATGTTTTTTTTTTATAGTTTTTGAAAGAAGTCTCTTTTGCTCACCAAGGCTGTTTTTTTTTTGTTTGATCAAAAATACAGTAAAAGCAGTAATACTGTGAAATCTTAATGCAATTTAAAATAACTGTTTTATATTTGAATATATATATTAAAATGTTATTTATTCCTGTGATGCAAAGCTGAATTTTTCAGAAGCCATTTATTATTCTAATCTTGGTGAACCTAAAAGACTTATTTAGAAAAAAAGTAATTATTCCAACATTTTAACTGAAGATTAAAGGTGCAATAGGTGATTGTCTTCAGAAACATTTTTTGTTATGCTGGTTGAAAGTCTCTTCACATCCCCATAGCAATCATTAAGTTAAGTGGTCTAAATTTATTTATCTGTATTTATATATTCTGTGGAAGGTGTAGGACCAAGAAATGTTCGTCCAATTAAAACGCTCGGACCGACTTTCCTACCTGCCTCTCAAGCTTTCAGTGCTATCAGGCTAAAGTTAGCATTTTCCAAGATCTCCTATTGCACCTTTAACTTAACTGTAATTGTTTATACTTACAAGTTGCAAGACAATGTGAGATTGTGAATCTAATTTAAAGACACGCTTTTAGTGAACTTAAATGTACAAATAAAAGCTTTAAACATTTCCGCAACCCGAGTAAACTCACTGTGAATGTTCAGTATCGTCGGCTCGATTGGGTCTGTTGAAGGCTGTGTGTGTGTGTCTGTGTGTGTGAGAGTGTGTGTGTGTGTTTCGTCAGTGGTTTAGCAGGAGACTAGCAGCTGAGAGGCATGTGAATCCTCAGACGCGTGACGCCTCGACTGAAGCTCATCAGCAGATGTGTGAGTGTGTGTGTCTGCCGATGGGACGCTCGTTAGTTCAAACACACTCGGCGGCCACTCACCCGTTGTGCGTCACGAG